AAAAAACACACTACAAAAACACCATACTAACAACAGCAAAGATACACAACACAAACTCAGAACACTACCAACAACCAGAGGACAACATAACATACAACAAAGAAACCCAAAGGTGAAACAAACATTTGCTCAAACTGTAACACAAACACACAACATAACACCAGCTCAGAAAACGAAAAAACAACGCAAACCAAAAAGAACCAGACATATTAAACTCACCAGTGAAATCAAAACGAAAAAACAAAAGAACAAAAACTCACATACGAACATGATATGAAAAACAAAGAACAAGTAAATTCCCCAATAATATGGTCACTTCCAATGCCCCTAACTGAAACTTCAACACCAGAAAGAAGAATAGAACATGATGAAAATAATCCTTCATGGATAGAAATAATAAAAAGAACAATCAAACTGATATCAAACACAGCATTAAATTTAAAATCTGAGAAATCCGTGATCATAAATATATGAGATCATTACAAAAGCAATTACAATCATAAAAGACATCATGGACTGTATATATGGATAGATTAATACTCTGGAATGCTAGGTCCATTTTAAATAAAAAGACAGAAACAGACCTTTTAATAGATAAGGAAAATCCAAAAGTATTTGTAATCTGCGAAACTAGGTTAACTAAAAATGACAATTTGAAGATAAACAACTATTCAATAGAAAGGAAAGATAGAACAGAACATAGGGGAGGAGGCCTTGCAATTTATATACATAATAGTATAATACAAGAAAATAAACCTCAATGAGAGACAAGACAAAAATAACAAGACAAAAAAATTGCTATAAAAATTTGCTGCAAGAATAAATGGCTAAATTTAATTTAATTTACAACCCTTGCAATAAAATAGAACAAACAGAATTAGATTATTACATAGAACAATTAGATATGCCAAAATTAATAGTAGGAGATTTTAATGCCCACCACACGTCATGGAACCCACATATAAAAACAAAAACTGCAATAAAACGGGAATAAATTTGTTCAACTTGATTACTCAAACAATCTGATGTTAATAACCCCCACGGGACTAATCACCAGAATAGACCCAAAAACAGGGAAAGGTACTACTATAGACTTAGTGATAGGATCTCCTGAACTAAGCCATTTTGAAATAATGACACACTCAAATTCAGACAGTGACCATTTCCCAATAATAATAAAAGACAGTAGCCACATAAACAAAACACATGCAATAGAAAAAAAAATGGAGCTTCACTAGATAAGGATGGAGGTATTTTCAAGAAGAACTAGATAACAAAGACATCAAGGGCATGAATTCAATAAAAAAAATAATGGACCTAACAAAAAACATGTAAAAAATATTTTAGATTTGATAATAAAGTCAATAAAAAGAAACCAAGCAAACCCTGGTGGAATCTAAAATGTAAAGAAATCATAAAACTAAGAAACAAAGCCTTTAATAAATGGAGGAAAAACCCAAATGACGCAAACAGAACTGAATAAAATAAAAAAAATTAAAGCAGGAACCACTATAGAAACTGAAAAAAAGAATAGCTTGGAAAACTTCTGTACTTCTCTCGATTTTAACACTCCAACCAGAAAGATTTGGAATTTCCTAAAAAAAAAAAAAAAAAGATGGTAAAAATAGAATTAATACTTACCCATTAATTGATAATAATCGGCCTATTCAAGACACAGAGCAAAAACTCAGAGAATTAAAAAACAAAAACAGAAATAAAGAACTTGACAGAAACTAACACAGAAGGAATAAGTAAAAATCTCACTTTAAAGGAATTAACTTCAGTAATAAAAAAATCAAATAATGGAAAAGCCAAAGGACCTGATGAAATTCCATACAAATTTTTCAAAAAATGTCCCCCAAAAGTATTAGAAAAAATCTTATCACTGCTTATTATTTACTGGCTAAAAGGAGAATATCCGAAGGAACTAAAGAAATCATTAGTAAATCCAATAATAAAACCAGGTAAAGACTCATCAGATAAAAAATCTTATATATACATTGGTAGAATATCATGTATTGGGAAAATATTTGAAAGCTTCATAACTAATAGACTAAACTGGTGGTTAGAAATTAACAAAGAAATAAATGAAGACATCACAGGATTCATACAAAACGGCTCAACCATTAGACGCCCTACAAATAATAGAGGATCAAATTAACAAAGCTTTTGAAGAAAAAAAAAAAATTTGCTTTAATAGCTTGCCTAGATCTGGAAAAAGCTTTTGACCCAATAAATCATAACGCAATAATAATAAAAGCAGCAAAACTAGGAATTACAGGTGCCCCACTCAAGTGGATCATGGACTTCTTAAAAAACAGAACCTACCAAATAGTCATAGGGAACAAAAAATCAACAGCAGAAACCATAGCAAGGGGCCTCCCACAAGGCTCACCCCTAAGGCCATTATCATTCAACATGACATCAGATTTAACCCTAACGGATGAATAAAAAAAAGTAACATACGCAGACGACATTACAATTATGGCAATAAATAATAATCTAGTAGAGGCTAAAAATAAACTAGAATTAGGGTTAAAACAAATAATAGAATGGGCAAACAAATGGGAGTCAACAATAAAAAGTAAAGTAAATACCAATGGTACAATTAGATAACAAAGTGCTTACTTTCACAACTAACCACACAATTCTTGGTCTAGAATTAGATGCTCCAAAGTCAACTTGGAAAAAACACATTAATAATCTAAAGATAAATTGCTCAAATACAATAAACATAATGAAAAAAAAAATATCTTCAGCAACATGGGGACCAAATAGAGAAACCAAAATAAAATTCTATGATATTTATATAAAACCTAAAACAGAATATGGAATCTCAATTTTCGGTACAGCCAAAACCACAGAAATGAAAAAATAGAAATTATACAAAATAATGCCCTAAGAATAGCTACAGGCTGCTTAAAAACCACCCCAATATTAGCATTATACACTCTCACAATTAAAATGCCCATCATATACAAACAAAAAGAATTGGAATGTATGCAAATGATGAAAATACTAGAAAAATAAGAGAATAACCAAATGAAAAGAAATGTAACAGCAAATCTAGAAGAATATAACCCCCAAAAAGATAAGAGAGGTCTAGTACACAGAGTAATAGAAACCTGCAAAGAGTTACAAATAACAATAAAAACAAAATATCAAACATAGTAATGGGTATGGTAACCAGCTGAGGAGAATCAAAGTTAAAACAAATAAATTCAGGTTCAGTAAGCGACAAGAACTATTTGATGAAGTGAATCCACTGACGGCTTGTGCTTAGTATACCTTCTCACTGTCCAAGGTGCTTAACCATTTAAAACAGCCTCATGTTCATACCATGGTAGAGAGAGAGAGAAAAAATAAAACAAACTTTACTTGAAAAGTGAGATGTTATTGTCAAAATCAAATTGGATATGATCTTCAGGTCATTCAACTTTATCTTCTAAATTATATATATTGTATTAATAGGTATTTTTCACACAACTATACATTTAATCATAATACAGGCTACTGCATATCAATATCTTGGTTAATACTGACTTGTGAAAGGAAGGCAAATGTTTCAAATAAGTAGCAATAAATGCTAATATCAAAATTCCCACAATAAAATAACACACCCCTACAAACTCCTTTGTAGGTTTCAGTATCACATTATACAGAGGGGAACACTGGTAGAGAGAATCATAATTTTTTTTTTTTAAATCACCGGTCACATTTTTTATGTGATTTTGAACATCACGTATTTAATTAATGTTGTACACCTGCACCCCCACACACTGGCATGCACATATGCCAGTGTGTAAACACACACACACACACACCCATGCACGCAGGCACATGTATGAACACACGTGTACACACACACACACACACACACACACACACACACACACACACACACACACACACGCACGCACGCACATCCGCACGCATGTGTGCACATGCACATGTGTACACACACACACACACTCGCAAGCACATGTGTACACACGCACATGTATGTACATATGTGTACACACACACACACACACACACACACACACACGCACACGTGTACGCACATACACACACACACGCAAGCACACGTGTACACACGCACACACGCACGCACGCATGCACACGTGTACACACACACACGCATGCATGCACACACACACACACAAGCACGCATGCACACGTGTACACACACAGACACACACAGACACACACACACACCCATGCACGCAGGCACATGTATGTACACACATGTGTGTACACACACACACACACACACACACACACACACACACACACACACACATGCATGCACACACAGACACATGCACACGTGTACACACACACACACACACACACACACACACACACACACACACACACACACACACACACACACACACACACACACACACACACACGCAAGCTCACGTGTACACACGCACATGTATGTACACACATGTGTACACACACGCACACACAAGTGTGCACACGTACGCACGTGTGCACATGCACACGTGTACACACATACGCAAGTACACGTGTACACACGCACACCCGCACGCACACGTGTACACACACACACGCATGCACGCACGCACACATGCACACGTGTACACACACACACACACACACACACACACACACACACACACACACACACACACACACACACACACACAAGCATGCACGCACGCACACATGCACATACACACATGCACACGTGTACACACACACACACACACACACACACACACACACACACACACACACACACACACACACACACACACACACGCACGCATGCACACGTGTACACACACACACACACACACACACACACACACACACACACACACACACACACACACACACACACACACACACACACACACACACGCACGCATGCACACGTGTACACACACACACACACACACACACACACACACACACACACACACACACACACACACACACACACACACACACACACACACACACACACACACACACACGCATGCACACGTGTACACACACTCAAAATAATAATAATAATAACAACAATAAAAAAGATGATAAGAAAGCAGTAACACTAGGCTTGCATCATAAATGAAAAAAAAGATGACGAACACCTAAATTCTCCACATGTCCTGTGGCAGAAGTTCAAAAATATAAAACAGAATTGTGGTGCATAAAATAACATACACAAAAGCAAAACCAAAGACTCTAAAGCTTCTTGAATAAAATACAATTGAAGAAGCCTCTCGTGCTCTTACTGGGGAATGCTTAGTGATCGTGAGTCTCTGCCTTATATATTCTATTCTGAGCAGACATGACCTCCACTTCATTCGAAATTGTGACTTCATAAATGTTTATATAACTTCATTAAAATATATCAAATATATTACTCTCTCTACTTTGGATTAATCACTGGTTCTGTAGTGAAGGTCATTCTTTTATCACAGGATATTGAGCATGGTTTCTATGAAATACAATTCTTGGTAACAGCCTCCTTTTGGGGATTCAACCTTTCGCCTCATCTTTTCCTGTATACTATATGCCAAGCAATATCAGTCAACATGTATTGGAAATTTCATGGTGTTTATGAACATTCTGTCTTTTTGACTTCCTGGCGATGAGACGCAACCTCTTGCTTCTCCTTACACTGTGGACATCAATGCCTGTGCGTTTCCTTCTATGTGTGTTGATCGAGTTTGTCGATGACGTCACGCCACAGGACCGAGACTGAAATCGTGTCGCCAGCCTGCTATCAATTACATCGTGTCCATTGGTTTTGTCCCCAGAGTATTTCTTTTCCACATAGATCTTCCCCTGATCACAGCGGTCCCCGTGCGGCTTCTTGATGTGGCATGCAATGTGGACCAGCTTGAGGTTGCCTTCTGCATCCTCGCCTTGCTTTTTGCACTTGTGCCGGAAGAGGAGGCTGTGGAAATAGGGTAAGTTGACGGACTCTGCTCTAGGCCCCTTCAGAGCTTTCTTCAGTGTGGGGAGGATGGCACGGGATTTCTCAATTCTGGAAGGTTTCAGTGCTTTTGTTAGTGAAGGATGAAACAAAAGGCAGAGAAGAAGAATAGAGAATTTTTCTGAACAGAAATATATTACATCTTCTTTCTTTTGTGTCAGATATTCAGGTAATTAATCAATGAACCAAAAGAAGATGAAGAAAAATTACATTTATACATAAACCATTTACTTCCCATTCTATTTCTATTTCTTCCAGAAAAGGATTTATACTAAAATAATTTGAAGTGACTTTCCTACTACTCTCTCCCTTTTTTCTATTTCTCTCCTGTTTCTAAGTGCAATTTCCTTGTTGCAAGCTATCAGTCTCAAGATTGTACTTGTACTAATTATAGGTTGTAATTGTCAATCAAAAAAGAAAAAGAAAAACATATATAGAAATGGTTTAATTTTCCCAGCTTCAAAACACACTTTAAAAATCAACTTCTAGAAGAATTGCACAACAGCTATTCCAAAACCGCTTTGATTCCACATATCACATGATTTTCTGCTTTGTGGCTGCCAGTGCATGCTTCAGGAAAGTCAAAGCACCACATAATTATAAACTAAAACTATTTATTATAAATAAAAAGAGAAAGCCATCGATGCAACTGCAGTTAAAGAGAAAATTAGAAAAAAAGGAATCAAAATAAAAAGCAAAAGAATATACATTAGAAGAGGAAAGAAAAACAAAGAAAAAGAGTTGAATATCTATTTAAGACTGAATAAGAAAAACATAAGAGTAAAATGGTAAGGAAAGAAAAATTAATATATAAAGACAAAGAAAAAGAAAGAACAAAGTCTAATTGAAAAATTATATAACTGCCCGCTCATAATTTTTCCTCTTGCATACTGACCCAAAACCTACGGGCATGACATACCATGCCTGTCAGTTTTGGGTTACGTACATGCCATGCCCACTTTGAGTTTACTATATTGCTTTTACACATCGATGGCATGGATGTAATAAGCCACCAGTGAGCCAACTATGAGTACTGCCTGTCTCGCCTGTTTACCCTTTTCCATGAGTTTCAAAAATGTTATCATATGTTAATGTTACTAATGTCAATAACACTATAGTAATTATAATGTTTATAATAAAAATAACACCGTTAATATTCATAGCATTTATGAAACTACCATTTTTCCTGCCAATTCAAGGAAAGGTGAAATCAGGTAAGGTCACAAGGTCTACTAACTGACTCCTTTGTGTGCAGAGATATTCCACAATTTTTTTTTTTTTAAATGAGCACAGCATTTTCCAGGCAGCATTGAGTTAACATTTAATATCTTAATTCTGCACAAGATATCTAGTATAATACTGACAGACTACACTGAAAAACCTGGTGCAGTTCCTGTTCATATCATACACTAATACATATATATATATATATATATATATATATATATATATATATATATATATATATATATATATATATATATATATATATATATATATATGCAATATCTGATCCACAA